GGAATAGAAAAAAAAATCCAAAACTAATAATTATAATAAAAAAATAAATAAAAAATGGCCGTCTCTTAATTAACTTTAATATCTAGGTTCTAGGCGTAACCAAAAAAAAAAAGTTTAGTAAATCAAAAGGGGATAAAAATAAATAAAGTAAACCTTTAAGAATGTAATTAAATTAAATACTAACACAATAAAGAGACTCGTAGGCTGTCACAACAAATTGACTCACTATCAAAACTTTTAAGACACAAATGATACTAAAACATCGAAACATCAAAAGAACTGCTTAAACATATAGAATAAAAATAAAACACTGGATTATGTTAACACTGCATAAACATATAAAATAACTAACACTGAAATTATCTATCGTGAATCAATTTAATAGCTGCGCCAAACACCAACTAAGCGCTCTACGGCGTGGGTGCTTAGCCATGCGACGCTCTGGTACGGGACGGAAACGTTTCGGTCTAGAAAATACGCGCAATAATAATGAGATGCGTTCCCAAGTGTGACCTTTTCATATCTTTTGTGTGGCTTTTTACCCTCTTTTCTCCCCAAAACAATACAATTAATGAAAATTACAAACTATATTCTTTAAATAATGTTTCTGAATGCACCTTATACAATATAAATGAACAATAATATGGTCAAACAAGAGATTGGACGCCATTATTTTCGTTTGTGTTTACAGTTGGGAGTCCGGGACGATAGTTCTACACGAGAAAATGAAGAAAATAAGACCCTGGTTGTAGCTGTAGTAAATTTAATGTAAAAAAATTAATATATATGTTTTAAGTAATGTAAAGAAAAAAAGAATTCTGAACATATATTACACAAACTTGGAGACAGGACACAGGCTTGTCGTACTCCCTGTCTAACTGTGAACCAATTAGTTAGTTCATTTATTTACTAACACTGCAGCTTCTTGTTGCCAGTAATGTCTCCTTCATTAATGCCTAGTTTTCCAAGATCTCTCTAAGTTTATTGTGCTTTATCTTATCAAAAGCTTTTTTCAAAATCAACAGAGCAGATATAAAAATTTCTCTCAAAATTCTCAAACCAAACATAGCTTCTCTTGTTCCTTTTCCCTTTCTATAACCGTTTTGCTCATCAGATAATTACCTTTCTATTCTAAACTTTATTCTACTTAAAATTATGTTTAATAAAACGTTACAGGCACGACATGAAGCAAAACAAGTATTAATGAATAAATGGGATAATAACATTCACATTTTCATATTTAAGTCAAGGCCATGTTAGCCTTCATATACTGTACAGTACTTACAGATGAGAGTCTCAAGTGTTGCCTCCATGTTCTGGGTTGCTTCAGAAATTTGATGCAGGTCAGTCGTGGGATCCACTAGACGCTGCCTACTGTATTTGCTCTTCTGGGTGGCATTTGCTGAAGAAAAAATATATCTGAATTATTGTCAAGCACTTGATTTCAAATTCCAAGGTTCCCTATCAATTATCTATTTCATAAACGCTTTGTGAGACGTTCTGAATTCTGTAAGGGAGATACAATGACAAATTTATAAATACTATATGTTTATGATGACCAACGATCTAATGTTTTACCAATTCAACATAATCTACAGATTATTGAAGTAAGTCTGTACAGTATAGTACCATTATTCTGCTACACTTAAGCAGTACAGATGTACCCCGAAACCAGCATCCCATTAACCGCTGCTTTGCATAACAGACAATTACATACAAGGGAAAGACCCCACAATTTTCTTTGATATCCCAGAGGTATGACAATTGGGAGCAACAGAATTTTTTTTTAATTTGGCAGGTGGCGGCGTGGTGCAAATGCTTGCCACCAGAACACTCTGTGCACTGCCCTGACTCCTTCCCACCATCTTTGCTCTTGTTTACACTTACTATGTGTCTCTGACTTTGGTGTTTTTTCGTTATTTCTGACTTAGCGTGTTACTCAATCATGCCTAAATGCCCCAATGATAGTTCCTCTTGTGCTGGGCAGCTTGATGTGATGTGATAAGGCGTAATAATACATAATAAGATGTAATAAAAGTGGTGATGGACCAGCAAAGATTGGTAGAGAATTAAACTTGCTACCCTAGACCGTCTCTACCATCCTCAACACAGGTAAATAACAGTCTCAATTTATGTTTTACAGCAAGTTACAGTGACTCTTCTGCCATCAATGGAATTACTGCAGAACACCTCTTCACCCACAGAACCATGGTATGGTTACTTAAGCAGTCAGTGAGATCATAGGTTCATCAAGATCAACTCTAAGGACCAATTTACTTGTCTCAACTCATAAGTAACAAGTATACCATGCTTTAGCCCTCACATTTTCCTGCCAGTTAAGGTCAAGAAACCTGCTAAAGGAGGAGGGAGGAAAACCAGGTCAATTACCTCTTGGATTGAGCAGTAAGACTTGACTTGATGTTACTGTTTTCTATTTATAGCCTTAAGTCATCATATATTTAAGAATGTAGAAAGTCTTATAAATCTTAGTGACTGAAGTGTGGTAATAACATTATAACACTAATAACATCATAAAAAAACCATAAAATTTTCCCAAAACAGAAAAGTACTGCAGTGTCTTATTTGGTACTAAAATACAATGTCGACAATTTTAGGTTGGTAAAAGCTCAGTTTAGCATTATAGTAGACAGTAATGAAGTTCAGCTACACAACAATAAAACTACATAAAATTAATTTTTATTTGAATACTTTATTTACTTACGTTTCAATACCGTATTTTACGGCACATAAGACGGGTGTATTTAGGAAAAAACTTGTGTATTTTTCTCCCGTATCCATAGTTTTAATAAATAATATACAGTTCCGGTAAATATGGGAAACAAATATAATTTATACCAATAAATAAATTACAACAAAAAATACTCTATTGCCAAACCAGGAAATAAAAACCAAATGAAAGTTTAACATAGTCGCCATTTCCATATACAGTACTGTACATCTGTACTGTACTCCCCATTTACTATAGCAATGGCGAAGCTACCTCCACCAATTCCCTAGCAACGCTCCCCCACACCACCAACTGACCAGCCGTCGTCCTGCTCCCCCACTAAGCCAGCTAACTTGTGCAAAGAAATGTATATTCCTTTTATGTGTTTACCCTTAGGAAAATTATTTCTTGTAATTTTTTCACAATATGTATGTAGGATGGTGTGTGCATGTATATCAGTAAAAATGAATGAAGAAAGTAATATATATCTACCCAAAAATAAGAGTTGAAAAACAACAGCTTGGCCCAGAAGCCTGGTTACATTGACAAGTCTAACTTGGCAACAATGCTGCCAGCAATGTTAACAGATGTAAATGTGAAAAGAAAGTTGTTTGTAAATCTTCATTTGTATCAGGTATTTGTAGAATGAAAAATAAATGATGCAGGTATGGCATTAATACAGCAGATTCTAATGCTTGTAAGAGTTCAGAAATGGTTACTGAAGAGTTGGGTGTCTGCCATACGGATGTTAATCGTCTCAGGTTATCATCATCAGTACAGTAGTTTTAAATCGACCTTTTATATTTACAATAAGTATTTAAAAAAAATAATAAAATTTTTAATTCTGGAGTTGGGTTTAGTAGAATTTAGCCTACTGGAGACAGCAACTGGGGGATTCATTAGCTTACAATAGATTGCAACTTCACATATAGGGTACAGGCTGATTTTATTAACCATTATTCAGAAAAAATGCATCTTACATGCCATAAAATATGGTAAAATTTTGCCTAAAAATGGGACTCACTTCCAACAATCTCTGGTGCATAGGAGATGACCTCAACCGGAATAGGGGCAAACATGGTGCCTGGGGTGCGGCCAGGAACCCCCATGCTGGCACTAACATATCCCTGCAAATAAAACAGTTTATATCAGTGTAAATTGGGTATTAACATACATTACATCACTCACTGTCTGATGGCAAGTATAAGACCATAAATACATTCACAATAATAACAGTGTTTTTATCATTTCTAAAATACTATTCTGTCATAGTCTGTCCTAAGCAATACAAAGGTAATTGTCATTTTTTTAACACTCTGCAGTTTAATTTCGTCACATCTAATTTTGATAACCAAAACATTCAATTATTACAACAATTCTTAAAAAAAAAAAAAAAGTGTGTGTGTGTGTGTACTGAATAATAATAATAATAATTAACGGTAATAATAATAATTAACGGTTTATTGAAAAAGTTCTGCAGCCCGAAGGCGTGAATTGAACATACAAATAATTATAGTTTACAGTTGATGGCCCTGACCTGGGCTGGTCATTGAGACACCAGGAGGTGTGTTGCTCACATGGTGTAGTAACTTCCTCGGGTGTTGATACGAGGGAATTCACATGGTCATTGAGACACCAGGTGGTGTGGTGTTCACGTGGTGTAGTAAATCGTCCTCGGGTGTTGACATGAAGGACCTCACGTGGACATGGGGACCCCGTGTGGTGTGGGGTGGTGTCACAGTACCTCACTCTGCTTGGTGGTGATGTGTTATTTCATAGTCAGGTGAATAACCGGCCCTCTGTTGTTCCCAGGGTGGACAGATTAGCACCTCCTGGTCAGAAGATGGTGGTCAGTTCCAAGGGGTGCTTATCTCACTGGTACTGTCTAGTGCTGACTTCACTGGCTTAAACACTGTTCAACACTGATCCCACTTCTTTCCAAAACGAAATTGTCATTTTTTATTATGTAGATATACCGGTGGTGAGGATGGGTCAGGGAGAGGGAATTCAGGAATGAGCCAACATGGCCAAGGAGGGCCGCTGCTCAGCAGGAGCAGCGCCTGAATAGGTCTTGACCCTCTGGTGGTAAAGGATGTAGTGTGTGTGTGTGTGTGTGTGTAAAATCCATAATAAACAACGTAATATTATTATAATGTTTCAGCACTCCCCTTTTTTCACTTTGCTTTAAACACTGTGTATCCTAAATGACATAATTCTACATACACTAGAAAGAGAGGCATGAAAGTGCTATATAACCTAGAGGACCCTCAAAATGCTTCCTTAACCTGTTTCATTCCTACCTTGATGTTCATGCGGCCTCCGTGCAGAGTTGTGTCCACAGTGAGATGGATGGGGTTGTTGGTGACGCGGGAGTAGTAGTCGTGGATGAGCAGAGAGTGGTCGGTGATCTCGTGGCCAGTTGCCCACCACCCCACAATCACCTCGCCGGGATTTACTTTGCGGTGTAGTTCGTACATATCTTTAGCAAAGTCCAGCTCCACTGCAACCTAGAGCGTAGAAGAAATAACTTTAGAAAAACCTACTCCCTATTCCTCTCTATGATTAACATCTTTATTTTTCATTTCCACCAAACTTTCTGACAATTACCATCTTCATCATCAGTGTTGTGAAATGAAAGAGCAATTACCTCTTTACTTAAGAACCAGAATAATTGGTGCAGAGCACTTCTAGGGACGAGAGATTTCCCACTAACCAGACGACTTTCTCAAACCCGGAAAAATTCTTAATCCCCGGAATCTTTTCCGGTTCCTGGGAAAAGTTTCCAATTGTCTAAACTAGACCTCTTGCACAGACACACTACCCCACTTCCCCAGAATGTTTCTGGGTGCTGGGGATGTTTTCCTTGAGGCTAAACTACCAGAGTCTGTAAATGCAGTTCTAATTAAGTTAGAAACTCCATTTATTTACTATAATAATCCAGAATAGTTTATCTAAAAGTTTAGTAAAATAAATATATTTGAAAATTAAAAACTGGTATTATCCACTCCCATAGAGCTGTGGAGGATTACTGGGTCTCATGTAACTGACCTGACCTGATGCAATGTCAGGTGGAGGTGGGGTGGGGGATTAGTGGTCTCATATTACTGACCTTCTGATGGAATGTCAGGTCACCCTTTCTTAGGTGATGGATTAGTGGGTCTCATGACCTGAAGATGTTTTGAATAAACATGAACCATAAAGTATTTTTAGGGAGATTGTGATAAGTACAGTATACACGAGCAGTTGTATCCTTTCAACATTACATAACATTTTAAAATATGGAGTGAGAAAGCAGAAAGAAGTGAGTGATTAGAGAGATGGAGTGGTAATGAATGTTGCCAAGCACTCCTCAACAGCTGATATTTTACTGAGAGAGAGAGAGAGAGGGGGGTTAAGCATTGAAGATGACATGCGTGTCTGTTTATCAAAGATATCCCCGCCTATTGAGAACATTATTGCTAGGCACCACCAGCAGGCCTCACATAGGTACAGCATGTATTTGGTGTCTAATGATATAAAAAAACGCAGGGATTATACCGGTAAGTAAAATTTTTCGTGGATTTATTTAATGCCACTTTATTACGATCATGTTTCAAAGGCAGTTAAACTTTCTTGTCATTGATTAAGTAAACCTTTTGTTTTGTCCTCTTTCAACTGTTTTCAGAGGCCATTTTAGTTGTATCATGTTTGTACAATGAGAAAATCCAATTTGGGGGAAAAACACTTTTGAAAACAAATAAACACAATGAGAGAAACACCTTTTAGATCACTGTAACAAAATATGTCATGATTATCTAATAATGATCTAACCTCTTATCTCAAATAATGTAAAAACAGATTGGGTAAATTGTTTCGTAAATTTATTAAACAAAACAATGACATCCTTTTCCAGTCCTTATTGAGAAATAAAAGTATCAGAGCTCGACTGTTGAACTGCGAGGGGGATGACAATGGACCCACCATCCAGTAAGGGTGGGGCAGACTTTGCTTCCTCCACCTTGACGGTATGAAGAACTTTCGTCTGGGAATGTACATTATACAATATCGGACTTAAACTCAGTACTGTCCAGTATTTGAACGTGTCAAAATTTATTTTCTCAGACAAGATCTCATAATGCTGGAGGAAGACTACAACATTTAGTTTACCACTGGAGTAAACACAAAGCTTGACCATTCTGTGACATAATAATACAACTTGTTTAGATTACAGTGTCTCACAATGCTGTCCCTCATACTTTCTTGTCCAATCAAGTAACATGAGAAGTACTGTAACAAGAAACCAAAATACAGCACTATACAATATTTTTCAAAACCCACTTACCTCTCTGTTTACTAAAATCATCTGGTGTTAACCAAATACAATATTAAAAAGTCATTCCCATAGTGAAGGGATAAAAATTCATGCAATAAAAGGAACTAAAAACTTTAATTTTGAGTTTTTGTAAGTGAAAATATGAAAAATACATAAGTATAAATAGAAAAAGAGATGACTGTAAACAATGACACACCTGAAGCTCTGACTTACCTCTTCTTTTGACTCATTGTGAGGAACACAGAAGCAGTTAGTTATCTCAATGGCTCCCTTATCCACACCTATGGTACCTGAGGGATGTACAACAACTAATTAATACAAGTTATTCAGCCAGTGAAACACAAACAGTTCACCAACTGGACACTTCATTTTGCCCAGTTTGTCAAATGGGCCCCTAGCCTATGCTAACGTATTTGTTGAGTGCAATTATATTTAGTTTCATTTACTATAGATTTTAACAATATCTTCCTTTGAATGTATAAGTTAACCATTGTCACCTTACAACAGCCATTTTCGTTACTTTATTATCATTGTGCTGGGGGTATTTGCTAGCCGCTTAATGTTTACTTTTCGTATGGAGACGGCGGTGGAAAATCATGTGTATTTCCAAGTAACTGCAACTTTTGTTTAATCTTTAAGACCAATTTTGGCACTTTTATTCATTATTTAGTCATCCTGTAAGAAAATAGTACAGTACAAGTTGAACCTCCCTAATCAGGCACCCTTTGGACCTGACCGGTGCCGGACTATAGAATTTTCCGAACCACAGGCGGTCTTTGTAAAATACATAGTATTATTGATGCGTCAATCTGGCGAATCATATTTAAAATTTGGAGCCTAATGTTTCTCTGGGCACATTACACTGTCCTAAGGGCAAAGCTGTACTGTACATGTGCTGTACAGTACCGAGACGCCTATAAGACGAAATTTGAACATTAAAAAAATCTGCCCAAAGTTAGGGGGTCGTCTAAACCACCAAGTTTAAAATTCTTACCTCTTAAATATTGTGGTTTAGTGTGTCAAGAGTGGTGATGAAAACATCGTAAGCCACTCACAAGGTCTTACCACTAATTATTTTATACTGAAACTTACGTCTGGCAAGCTGGATTCAAATTAAGATTACCGGTATATTAAAATAATAAAAATGTATTATAAACCTGTCTAACATACCGTAAAAGAGATTTATACCCCTGTAATAAACACAGCTATCATCACACACCCCTCCCCACGCCCCCCCCATTTGCCAGTGAGGAGACAAGAAAGGAAAAGTGCATTAATTCTTGAAACTATCGACGGTTAATTACAGACGCTCAAGTGACGTCACTAGTGTTTACACTACACCAGCTGGTAATATTTGATGCCATTACTTGAAGTGAATTGGCCTTATTTTAAGTAACTAACTATAAATAAATACAAAAATTAAAAAAAAAGATCAAAACTGAGAAATAATATACTGTATGTATGTTGTGTTGTCAAAGTAAGAGGAACAATTGTGTAAGTACGTAATATTTTTTCACTCAAATCCTAATGAAACACTACTGGAGAACATTCCTTTGTAGCAAAACAGTTTATAAATTAAAGAAAATAATTACAGTGTGTTTAATATATTACAGTATATTATAAATAAATAAATAAAACAAATAATTCGGTAAATCTATTTAAAGTAAATGGAAAATAAGCAAACATGTTATTTACCAAGACCCTTCCGTCTGGCTCAGGGTGAGATGGAGGGGAGATAAAGAAGGCTATTTATAGCCCATCAGAAGTGGCTAGTACCCTAATGCACCATAAATAATTCATTGAACATTCATTTTTTGTACATAGTATATATATATATATATATATATATATATATATATATATATATATATATATATATATATATATATATATATATAATATATATATATATATATATATATATATATATATATATATATATATATATATATATATATATATATTTGTGTAATAAATGTATGTAGTAAGTACATACTGGTAACCTTTTTCACTCAAATCCTAATGAAACATCACAATTAGAATACGGTGGTTGCTGTTGAACCACATGTTGTATAAATAGTCACACCACCGAGACGAGGGAACACTCCCACCACGCTTCAGTGACGTCACTAGTGTTTACACTACACCAGCGGGTATAATTTGATGACATTACTTGAAGTGAATTGGCCTTATTTTAAAAAATCAAGGATGGTTGGTAAAGGACTACTGAGTCAGTGGGTAAGTGTCACATTTGGGGTACTGGTCTTATACAGCGAATAGAGCTCAAAAGCTACTTTTTAAATGGAAATTTGGGGGGGCCGTCTTATGCACCCCGACGCCTTATAGGCCAAGATATACGGTACTAAAATTTTGTCTAGTGCAAACTATTGCATGTTTATATTTAAATTAATCACTATCATATAAGAATTCCAGCAATGTTAATTATATTCTCCCATGTCAGTTCAGTGACATTTTATAGGATAAAAACTTTAAGTCACTCTTAAGGACTGATAAATAAATAAGCACTAGACCTTGGCATCAACTGTCAAACATATCACCTCACCTCCCTTCCCCCCCCATCTTCCCAGCCAGTAAACAGACCATTTCGCATCCCTTAATTTTAGCTGTTGATTTATGAGTGTTTTTTTTAACATAATATATATATATATATATATATATATATATATATATATATATATATATATATATATATATATATATACATACATACATACATACATACATACATACATACATACATACATACAGTGGGGTATGCTATAACGAACGGATCCTACTACGAATATTCCTATAACGAACGGTTTTACCTATAAAATTGAGAATGCTATAACGAACGAAACTCCTACAACGAACATTATTTAAAAAAAAAAAATTTTTTTTTTTACTAATTTATTGTTTTTTTATTACAAGTATTAATGATATTGGTTATTTCAGGGGTTTAGATGCATATTTATGCACTTTTTTACAATTTTTACAATTTTATATTATATTTTTCAGTTAAGTGGTTGTATTTGGTGGCCTGGAACGGATTAATCCTATAACGAACGAATGCTATAACGAACAAGGTTCTAGAACCAATTAGATTCGTT